GGGGTGTGTCATCCAAATTTTTGTACTTCATATCCTGGGTGGATGTGAGATGGTGCTGCTCATAGCCATGGCCTTGAACCGATATGTGGCCATATGTAAGCCCCTTCACTACCTGACAATCATGAGTCCACGGATGTGCATTTGGCTTCTGGTTGGTGCTTGGGTTATTGGTCTCATTCACTCAGTGGCCCAGCTAGCTTTCATTGCCCATTTGCCTTTTTGTGGCCCTAATGAGATCGACAGCTTTTACTGTGATCTACCTCGATTTATCAAACTTGCCTGCATAGACACCTACAGACTAGAGTTCATGGTTACTGCCAACAGTGGGTTCATTTCCATGGGAACCTTCTTCTTATTGATTTTCTCTTATATATTCATCCTGGTCACTGTATGGAAAAGCTCTTCAGTTGGCTTGTCCAAGGCCCTCTCTACCCTGTCTGCTCACATCACTGTGGTGGTTTTATTCTTTGGACTGTGCATCTTTATATATGTGTGGCCATTTCCCACAGTGCCAGTGGATAAATTTCTTAGCATTTTGGACGTTTTGATTACACCTATCTTGAATCCTACCATTTACACATTGAGGAACAAGGATATGAAGACTGCAATGAGAAGACTGAGTCGTCAATTCTTAAGTTTGAGAAAAATCACCTGAGTGAAAGACAGGAAAAATTCTTTGTCTATTTTTAAATAATTTCAAGTAATACAAATGCTCTTCTAGTTATGCAAAATAGAGCTTACTTGACAGATCATCCAATATGAATCCAAGTATTGAATCAAATATGTTATTTGCAAATTTACAGGGGGGAAAAATCTCAGATTGCTTTATGCAAAGTAATTATTTACTTATTGCACATTTTTTGTTCATTATTTTGTCTATTTCTATGTACTTTATGATTTTCCAATATTGAAAACACACATTATATATGTGCATGTGGTCTGTATTTTTTACAATCTATACATGATGCTGAAAATTTTAAAAATTCAGTTCAAAGTGCACTAGTCACAGAATCACTAATGGTTTCTGCTATTTCCCTCTATTTACTGAAGTTGTCCAAGATTTCATCTGATTTAGATCCACAATCAACACCCATGGAAGCAACAGTCAAGAATTCAAATGATGTATTCATTGAGAAAATCTACTGAAAAAGTGCTCTTTAAAATGTTAAAAATAATAAAAAAAGAAATACAATATTAAAAAGGTAAGATGTCACTTTGTGAACCAATGTGCTCCTGCTCCAAGCCTTGATATTTTCAAACATCTCATATTCATGTGAAAGCAGGACAATGAATAAGGAAGACAGAAAAATAATTGATATATTTGAATTATGATTTTAGCAAAAAATATTAGATATATCATGGACTGCCAGAAGAATTAACAAATCTGTCTTGGGAGAAATACAGCCCAAATGATCCTTAGAAGCAAGGATGGCAAGACTTTGTCTCAAATATTTTGGACATGTTATCAGGAAGAACCAGTCTCTGGAGAAGTACATCATCTTTGGTAAAGTAGAGGGTCTGTGAAAAAGAGGAAAATCCTCCACAAGAAAGATTGACACAGTGGCTGCAGCAATGGGTTCAAACATAGCAACTGTTGTGAGGACGATGACAGAGTGGTCAGCATTTTA